ACAGCATAATCTCAGCTAAACACTCACTTTCAGGTACTAAAGGGTCTACAGTTTGAATAAAAGTTCAGCCCTAAATATCAAATCGGAGCCATTCCCTCCCTCTCCAACCCATTCTCTCTCCTGGCCCTGTTCCAGATTGGGGTGTGCATGGGAAGAGGGACACCCTCTCCTTCTACTTCTCATTGTCCTCCACTCCTTCCTCTGAATCCCATACCACCGGGCCTCTTAGGTTCAGAGGCTTCCTGTCTTTAGAATTTGGGGCCTGGGATGATGAAGGAGAAGAAGATGAACATCTCTTATATGACCACTCCTATTATAACCTGGCCATTGCTACCCTCGCTGGGACCAATATCCAGATACTGGCCTTCTCTTCCTGCGAGCACCTTTGTCATTCTTGGAGACACCACAAGAGCCTTCCAAGTGTACTGTTCACTGTTGGGGGGTCAATATGCATCTCTTCAAGACAGCTCAAGCCCAGCTCCTTCTACCATGTCTACTTGGCCTGTAAGATATTCACAGATCCCTGCCATGTGAAATGCTTAAAGTGTAGGCTGCTTCCATTAATACCTTCTTTCCTGATTCCTCTGCTCCAGGCCACTTTCTATGTTTTCCATTTTCTAGGTTAGAAGCAGGCTCTACCTAGTCAAGAGGTAGATGTTCATCTCCCTTTCTTGCAGCCTCTGATTCTCTGTAGTGTTTCTTCTTTCAGTCTTGAGAGGGGAATAGCCTCCTACTCCTTCCCAACTAATTAGACAATTCAGTATTTCAATGATTCTCCTCCAGAATGTCTACATTTCTATTCAAATAGGCTAAATAAGGTAAGAGTGGCAAAGGCCCAAGGATCAGTGAGGCCTATGGGGGAGGCAAGAAGGCACCTGCAAGAAACCCCACTGTAAGCTTCCACTAAGATACAAGAAACAGATCATTTTAACTTTTGTAAACTTTCATCAACCAAGGATAATGAATTATTCCCAAGATATTTTGTGTGCCCATTATATAACTCTGATGCAAAACACCAGGAAAAAATACAATGAGAAAAGGTTATCATAGCATAAACTCACTTATGAACACAGGTTCAAATAGTATAAATATTGGCAAAATCAGTGCAGCAATGCATTAGTAAATAATCATAGACAAAGAATGTTTATCCTAGAAATTCAAGGATGGTTTAATTTTAGAAAATCTATTAATGATATTCAACACAGTAATAGAAAAACACTATTATCTCAATAGATTCAGGGAAAGCATTTAATAAAAATCCAATATAATGCATGTGATGATAAAAGCTCTTTATCAACTAGGAATAGAAGGAAGCTTACTTAACATGATCCAAAACTTATAGCAAATATTATACTTAATGAGAAATTGCAAACATTCTTTCTAAGTCAGAAACAAGATACAGATACCCATTCTTAATGCTACTGTTACACCTCATTCTAGAGGCCTTTGCAGGCACCATGAAGAAAATAAAGTAGAAGGAGAGGGACTGGAAAAAAATGTTCAAGTTACTGCTTATAAACAATGTGTTTTTCTACCTAGAAAATGCAGGATTGCATCTTTTATAAAGGTCAGTAAGATTAATACAATATCAGTATACAGAAATAATTTGTCGCTTTAAATGTCAGAAAAACCAATTACATCTGTTTTTAAAATCTCATTCTACAAGATACTGAGAAATTAATACAAAGAAAGATGGTTTAAGACTTTTATAGTGAAAATTTAAAACCTTACTGAAGGACTCAAAAGAAGATCTAAATAAATAGAGCTCTTCCCAAGTTTAGCAAGGAAAGAATCAATGTCATGAAGATGTCAACTTTTCCCCAATTAACATATAAATTAAATGCAATTTCAATCACAATTCCACTAGGGATTTTTAAGGAATTTGATTAGCACTGGATTCTAAAACTCATACAGACAAGTAAAGAACTAAAAAATAGCCAAGATAACTTTGAAAGATGAGAATATCTCCTACCAAATATCATGATATGCTATAAATCTATACAAATTAAAACCAGGTAGAAGTGCTACCATGGAACAGTCTACTAGGGAACTCAGAGATGAACCCAGGAATATGTGTTTAGAAGGGATATAATAAGGGTGGGACTTCAGATCAGAGGGAAAAGAACAGCACCTTAATAAAGGGTACAGAGACAATTAGCTACCCATATGAAAAACAATTAGTACCCTACCCTATATATCGACAAAGGTTAGTTCCAGATACAGAGATACAAACAGGGCACTGGGATAAAGAATTCCATAAACAAGATGAAAATGTACAAAGAAGTTTTTTTTTCCCCATTTATTTATTTTATTGCATTTTAGGTTTTGGGGTACATGTGAAGAACATGCAAGACTGTTGCATAGGTACACACGTGGCAGTGTGATTTGCTGCCTTCCCCCCATCACCTACATCTGGCATCTCTCCCCTTGCTATCTCTCCCCAGCTCCCCACCTCCCACCATTTTTAAATTTTATAAAATATAAGAAGCTCTTATAATTAAAGACAAGTCACAAACTGGGAGAAGACACTTGCAAAGCACATAACTACCAATTAATATATTTTTTATATTTGTATCCAGAATATAAAAGAACCATCAATAACAAAAAAGACTTAACTTATTTAAAATAAGTGGGGGAATTGAATAGAGGATATCTGAATAACCAATAAACATATAAGAAGATATTTAAAATATTCAAATTCACTAGTAACTATAGAAATACAAATTAAATTTTAAAAAATAGAGGATACTTAATAACAAACTTGATTGGCCAATATTTTTAAACATCATCTAGTATTGGCAAAGATTGAAAACTGTTGCATATTGCTGATATATAAGTTATTACAACTACTCTAGCAAACAATTTGGCAATACATATAAAGTTGAAAAGATGTCAAAACTGTTGTAGCAATGCCATTGCTAAATACCCTAGAGAAACCTTCATACCTGAACAAGGAGACATGGGAAACATTACTTGAACATCTCAACAAATGTTCAATGTGGATTCAAGAAATATTTATTGGGCATCTTCTGCTGTGCCAGGCACCAGAGACACAACCCTGGCCAAGGCAGACTATGATGCCACTTCCAAGAGATTCTATTCTTATGAGAATAGGGAAAACAACGTGCGTAGCCATCCAAAGAGGGATGGCCGTGTCCAGGCTGACCAGCCAGCACCACTAGTAGGACCACACGTGTTGTTAGAGCTGCTGCACATTCTGATTAGTCAGGGCAAGAGAAACACTGGCTATTAACTATTTTGAATATGCCCTCTGGAATAAATTATAATTCATTCATCCAACAGGATATTATTCTATATTTAAAATGAATTAGTTTTACATGTCTTCATATGCATAAATCTCAAAAACATAATGCTGTATGAAAAGCAAAGCTATAGAAAGATATTATTCATGCTAAGCACACATACTCAAACTACTCTTGTTTAAGGAGGCATACTTGTGAAATAAAGGGATTAAAAATATGGATGGGATTAGCATATATCACATACAGGTATGCCCCAGCTTCAGGATAGCAGATGCCACCGGGATGAAGAGAGGAATGGAATGAAGGGGAACTACTTAAGGATCTTCTATTCTCTTAATGGTATTTTATTTCTTATTTTAAAACGATCCAAAGCAAATATGCAAACTATTGTCACTGATTAAATCTAGTTGGTAGAACTACAAGCTGCCTATATAACTATTTTCAAATATTTATGTATGCCTGAAATGTTTTATAATTATTTCCTTAATTTTAAAGGATTCTGTTATCTAAATACTTAACACTTTCACTGTGTAGAATCATATCAACTGACCATAGTTGCAATTCACTTAAACAAACATGAAAATTGTAATTTGTTTTAAAAACCAATTAAAGAGTTATTAATCACATTAAAAATGTATTCAGTATACAATTCAGAAACCAGAATGTTTTATGATGCAATTAGAATTATTCAATTTATAATAATGTGATTTGTATTTAACTTTTCTAAAATATTCCTAGTTGGTAAATCAAAGTACACCTATTAATTCATCTTTTCTGTATATATTTTATGGAGATTTCTCTGAGAATAATTTTAGATGCAAATTAAAATTGCTAGTTTAAAAAGGAATCTTTCCCCCAAGGGAAGAAAGTCTTACAGAATTGTCACAAGCAACGAGATGCTCATATTCTTCCATCCAAAATTCACATCATATTTTATTCTTCAAATTAATCTGGAATATACATGTACTGCAAACAACTTGGAAAAAGAACACAGTTTGCTGCTTTTAACAAAAGTTAAATAGAAAGTAAACTAATCATTTACATACAGAGTAGAATTGATGTCTGTGTACCAACGTCCATCAGAGCCTGAGTTACTTCTCTTGTCTTCATTTGTATCCTCTTCTTGATGCTTCCTCTGAGCCTCTTCCTTGAGTTTGGCTCTTTTAAGGCAGTGATCTTTTTCCTGCTCTCTGATTTGTGGTTCAATTACCGAATAGTCCTGCAATGCCTTAATCCTTTCTGAAGGCTCTATTTCTTTACCATCCAACCACTTAAATAAAGAACAATAAATATAGTACAATTGTTCAAAAGTTGCAGTGTGAATCAGCCCCAGGTTGATTTTGATTAGAACTTTTTAAACTTAGAAATAATAACATACCACAGTGATAGAAAATTAAAACAATGTAATTAATGGGAAATATCAGAACTTTGGTCTAAATCAATGTTTATTTATACAATTAACACAGTTTAAAAAATACCTTTACTGGTAATAATAATAACTAGATCATCTGTCAAAACTGATAATATAAGCTGTCAAAATATTTTATGTTAATTTTATAATTGCTCACTATGTCAAAAATTTCAATGCTTAAGTCAAATCATAGCCTCAGAGTATAACAATGACACTTCCCAGAAGCTCTCTACAGAAAAAAATGGCCTTGAATATTACACATGACTGGACTCTAATACAAATGAGCCCATGTTTCACCTTTAACAACAAGACAAACAGACAGGCTACTGTTAATAGCATTGTTTACATCTGACATTTCAATTATGATTTTCCAGAGTAAAATATTAAAATAAAACCATCAACTAAAGTCTAAAATGTTAAAACTAACAGTTTAAAGACACCTATTTATCTACCCAACCTTACTCTGTGAAATGAGGCAAGGTATTTAGGAAGGTGTGGTTGGAGGATAATGGTTCCCCAAGAATGTCCATGTTCTAATCTCCATGAATGTTACCTTACGTGGCAAAATGGGCGTACAGGTATGATTAGGTTAAGGATCTTGGATAGTCAGGGTGATTCTCATAAGGATTACTGAGGTCCTTGTAAGTAAAAGAGAAAGGCATGAATGTCAGAGTTAACGGAAAGATGTGAAGATGGCTTTGGAGATGGAGGAAGAGGCCATAAGCCTAAAAATGCAGGTGCCCTCTAGAAGCTGAAAGGGGCAAAGTAAGGGGTTCTCTCCTCGAGCCTGAAGAAAGAATAGCCTTGCCAACACCTTGATTTTAGCCCAGTGAAACCATTTCAGGCTTTTGATCTTTAGAACCATAAGGTAATACATTTGCATAATTTTAAGTCACTAAGTTTGCCTCAATTTGTTGCAGCAGCAATAGGAAACATATAAAAGGAAAAAAACCACACACAAAGATTTGGTAAAATATAAATGAAAAAATTATTGGGATCAGCTAAATTATAAGTCACAATTATGTGGAGATTTAGAAAAAATAATTCCAAATATGCTCTGGTCATAAGAACTCATATGGTTGCTATAGATGGGCCGCAGATTTGGTTCCAAGCTTCTTGGCAGCCAAAGTGAAATAGAAAAACAAAATTAGTTACAAAATTTTCATGGTCTTTAAGGAAAAAATACAGTTTGTAGCTTTCCTGTAACGTAGCTCTAAAACACATTTCTAGCACAGAGTTTCATAATGGAGATCTTGAGAGATGTCAAGCATCGTTTCTGTAGAAATATGTCCACACAACACCAGATTTCATAAGGGTGTTTCTTGTAGTATCCTTCAATAAAGGTATCTTCATACCATTATGTATGAGACCATAATGATAAAATTCAATACAACAAAACCTATTATTTAAGGTGTTAAGTAATTGTGGTCCACATACTTAATCTGATCTACTTTAATACAGGGTTGGGACTGAATCAATTTGGAAAATTTTAGATAAATGAAATGTACTTATTTTGTAAGTACATATAATAAGTAAATATACTATATATAAATATACGAATAAACAAATTAAAATATATTTATATATGAATAATACTATATAAATATATTACTTTTATAAATTTCTAAGTCATCCAATTTGTGGTACTTCATTATATTACTTTATATAGTATAATTTATATATAAATATATATTATTAACATAAATGCACTATATACAACTGTATTATTATAACAAGTTAGAAAATCTGAATAAATATAATTTTTTTCAACTGGGATTTCTTCTCAAGAGAACGTTGGGGAGCAAGATGATATTTTCTTCCTTGTAATTGAAGTACATTCATTGATTGATTGATTTCTGTCTTTATAATTGGTTTAAGTCAATATTGATTTAATTAGAACTACTATTCCTAAAAGGCTATGACAACTGAATCCTCTGTCACTTTACTAACAGGAGGCAAAAGACCTCATATTAGTAACTGATGACAATTTCGGGACTGTACACCAGCACCTATCCTAGGAACCTAACTCTTTTAGTGATTTCTGTTAGTCTTTGAAATTGGCCTGCATTTCCTTCAAGCCAAAATCACATCTGAGTTAGAAGGCCTAAGAAACAGAGATTATGGTTTTGGTTTTTGTTGTTTTTTTTTTTTTTTTTGAGACGGAGTCTTGCTGTGTCGCCAGGCTAGAATTCAGTAGTGTGATCTCAGCTCACTGCAAGCTCTGCCTCCTGGATTCAAGCCATTCTGCTTCAGCCTTCTGAGTAGCTGGGATTACAGGTGTGTGCCACCACACCTAGCTAATTTTTGCATTTTTAGTAGAGACTGGGTTGCCCCATGTTTGTCAGGATGGTCTCGATCCCCTGATCTCAGGTGATCTGCCCGCCTCAGCCTCCCAAAGTACTGGGATTAAAGGCAAGAGCCACCACACCTGGCCTCAGAGATTAAGTTTTAAGCTGAGCATTTCTTCATCTTCCTTCACTCAGGATTCATGCAGCACAAAGGTGGAGTATTCACACTTATTGATAATAACTGTAGAAGTGCTGGAGTGGAGAAAGGGACACTAAGATGTATTGATGGCCTCATAGAACTCGCTTAAAGTAGTAATGATGATCCCACTATACATGAGTAAAATGAGGCATGCAATTCACAGGCAGTGGAAGCAGCTGTCAGACCCTGGTTTCTCTGCTAACAAATCTGTTTCGCACCATACTGCAGGGCCTACCTACTCCTGTGGTGGCTCAGCGACTGGGAAGAAAATCCTCGAAAAGGGCTGACTCTCCTGACTCTCCTCACACCTCTTCTATGTGACTATCTAAAATAACTACTCTGCTGTTATGGGTTGAATTGGGACCCCCTACAAAAAAAGATGTTGAAGTCCTAACCCCTAGTAGCTCGAATCATGGACTTTTTGGAAATAGGATGATTATCGATGTGATTCCTTAAGACCAAATCATCCTGAAGCAGGCAGGTCCCAGGCGAATATGACCAGTGTCTTTATAAAGAGAGCCTTGTAAAGAGGAAGGCAGAGACCCTTAGGGTGATGTGTCTAGAAGGTCGAGAATGCCAAAGACTGGCTGGCAAATCACCAGAAGCTAGGAGGGAGGTATGGAACAGATTCTCCCTCACAGCCCTTGGAAGGAACCAACCCTGTCAACATCTTGAACTTGAATGTCAGGGCTTCAGAACTATACGATGATACATTTCTGTTGTTTAAGCCTCTAGTCTGTGGTACTTCGTTACATCAACCCTGGGAAAATAATACATTAATTAACACAATTCCTTTCAAGCAGTTCAGCTTTCAATGAAATGGTAATTAAGATTCTAAAGTATATCAGCCTATTTTTAAATATTAGTAAATATGTTAATACTATTTTCAAAAGGGAGCTGTTGATTTGGAGAAGTCCTTCTGAAAAGAAAGGCTTTATCCAAAGCCTGTAATTTGACCTAAAGAGAAGCAGTCAGTGCGGGTATAGTATGAATGGTGGAGTTATCAAGGTTGGACTCACATAGGTTCAAATCCCACCTGTGTCCCTTGCCAGATGTGTCAGCTTAAACCAGCAGCATTAATTCCCTGAGCCCTGACTTCCTCATCTCTGAACACACCTGTCCCCTGCATGGGTTTGGAAGCATCAGAAACACTGTGCGTAAAGCACCTCGTGGCACAACCTCAGACCCTGCCTGCAGCAGCCACGTGACAGCTGTCACACCTCTAGCCTGTTCACTGCAATACTGGCACAGGCTCCGCTGCAGCAGCCACGAGGACTTCTGGGCCCTTATCCCTTCCAAGGGAATGGCTCACAGCATTATACTACAAGATCTGGTTCTATGATAGTCAGGTTCTCACCAATTCATTTTCTAGGAAATCATTGCATAATAATGATCAGTTTAGGTTACGTTTGAGACAATTTATCATTTATTTTATATTCAATTACCAGAATCACTCATTCTCTTAAATTGAGAAATTTTACATTAGAAGAAATATGTTCCATTAATCCAGCAGTCAGCAGTCTGTTGACTACAGAGAACACAGAAGGCTAAGAAACAAACGTCCTTTGAGAACTGAAAAAATGCCTGTTGTAAAGGTGATGTCTCCATGCATTCTCTTTGCAAAAACACAGAACCACACGCAGGCTGGGAACTCTTAGAATTATATGAAACTTAACAATGCTGTTCTAATATTCTCTGTTGTATGATTTCTCAAGAAATCACATTTTTTTCCTCAGTTCTAAAATTATTTGACTGGGGGGATATGGTATAAGAGTAACATACACAGCAGTGGTTGTCAAATGAGGTCCCTGCACCAGCAGCAGCATTACCAGATTTTGTTAGAAATGTGAAATCTCAGGCCCCATGTCAGACGTGACCCAGGAACCCTGGGGGAAGAGCACAGCAGTGTGTGTTTTGAAAAGGCTTCCACATGTTCTGAGGCACAGCAAGGACTGTGAACCTGAGGGGCGTGGTGGCTCATGCCTATAATCCCAGCACTTTGGGAGGCCGAGGTGGGTGGATAACTTGAGGTCAGGAGTTCAAGACCAGCCTGACCAACATGGTGAAACCTCATCTCTACTAAAAATACAAAATTAGCCTGGTATGGTGGCACATGCCTGTAATCCCAGCTACTTGGGAAGCTGAGGCAGGAGAATCACTTGAACCCGGGAGGGGGAGGTTGCAGTGAGCTGAAATCTTCCCATTGCACTCCAGCCTGGGCAATAAGAGAACAAGAGCAAAACTCCTTCTCAAAAAAAATAAAAATAAAAAAAGACTGTGAGCCACTGCTACCCTAAAACCCTAAACTTTTGGCTTGCTGTATGTAATAATGAATTCTAATCAGTAATGATGAATCTTCTGCGTCTATGATTTGAACTCACTGAGAAAAAATCAAATTAAGTTCTGTATGTTTCGGATGAGAAAGCTGAAAAGTATGTAATTTATTTTTCAGGGATTTATTACAACTATTCAAACAGTATTAAAGGTCTAGCCATTTAAATAATTACTTTGGGCTCTCTGGAATATTTCGTTATCTGAAGCAACACATTCACTGTTGTTACAACTAAAGCAGGAATTATTGTAGTTGCTCATGTTCATTTCTCCGTGATTTCTGTGCCATTAAAATAACCATACCTTTAATTGTGGAAGAGTTGCTACCACGAACTCCCTATAGTGGTCAAAGGAAGCACATGGGTTCCCCATGAGAAACAGTTCCTTCAGATGGATATTGTGCTTCAAGGTTTTAATGCTGCTCAGCTCTCCAATGAAATTTACAGTCAAGTCAAGTTTTGCCAGTTCTTCACATCCTATTGAGAAAAATAAAAAGAAAACAAAGCAAATAAAGAAAAATCACAGTGGTAATAAACCGTGTGTAATAGCACATAATGGAAGTAACAGCTGTAGTATTTTTAGTCTGCTGATTTATTGCATTGCTTACCATGAAGTGATTCTTCAGAAATATCAACTCAAAGTCTTCATCTTAACTCATTTTTCTATCTCTGTCTCCCCTTATTTTTACCCCGAGTCCTTCCAGCCAGGGGAAATAATTTTCCCTGCTCACATTTGCGAGGCTGGTAAATGTTTTGATCTGGTCACTATCCGGCATGAAAAAAGCAAAAGGACAAGCTGCGACTACAGTGGGTGCTGCCTCCGAACAAAACTCCTACTAGGCAGGGCCCCTGGACGCTGTCCTCCTGAGTTTTAGCAGGTCGGCAGGACACATTTCATCTTGGAGGGTGATAGTGGAAAGTTTCTCCAAAAAGAAGGGCATGTCATAAAACCAGTGCATCAAAACCAATATTTGCAAAGTCACCTAGCAGAGAGAGAATGGCTCCAAGGCCACTGAGAACTGAACTGAAGGTATTAACAAAGGTAAAGAACAAGATGCTTTGATGCTCAAAGGAATAATAGAAAAAGGGTGAGTCACTGAAATAGGGTTTTATAGTAAATCTGACCCATCCACCTTCATTACAGAGATAGCCAGCCAGATGCTAAAGAAACTTGAATCAAATTCAAATTGGAATTTGAATTAATCCCCTCATTCACATTCCATGCGAACTTGGTGGATAAGAGTCCACACTTGGGAATTAGACAGATACGAGTTCAAGTGCTTCCTCTACCTCATCTTTGCTAATGTGACCTTGGATAAGTTACAAGCTTCAGCCCCCTCATCTATAGAATTATAATGGTATTATACTGGAGTCCAAAGTTGTGAAGATAATGACTCATGTAAAGCGCTTAGCATAAAGCTTGCCACCTAGAGTATCAGTAAACATGATGATTAGAATAGCTCAGTGAGCCCTCTAATTATCATAGGACTTCGTGGAAAATGTACCTACAAGGAAAGAAGCAAGTACAGCTGTCTCATGAGCAGAAACCTTGTAGTTTCTTTCCGTGAACTAAGAAGAGTTGACCCGGTTTACACAGCAGCCTTTGTGGGCTTGGTTCAATATAAGATTCTCTCTCCCTATGACGGCTTCATGTTTGTGGGATTAACATGGCAGATTTTGCAACCTTCAATGTCTAGAAGGCCATCCCCAGCTAAACCCCAGGTCTACCTCGCTCTCACTTACTTCTTCAAAGTTCTACATGCTCTTCCATTATGATTCATGTATTTTCTCTATTTAAATGTTCTTACAACATTAAATATTTAATAAGAAATTCAGTTGGCTCAGGTGAAAACTAAAGGAAAAGCAACTTTAAAGATAATTGCCCAAGGGAGGGAAAAAATGGAATTGACAAGACAGAGTGTAGGTGACTATTATAGTTGGACATTAAATTCTGGTAAATATAATTACATGGCATAAAATAAATAAGCACAGGTAGAAAGAGACCCAATGTAGAAAAATTGTCAAGCAAACTCTAATACATCTATTCAATATTTAATGCTATAAGAACATTCAAAATGATGGTTATGAAAACTATCACAGCATGGAGGAGAGTTTACGACATAATAAAAGTGGAAAAAGTAAGATATAATATCACCCATACACTAAAATTACAACAATATAAAATACAGAAAAAAATTAATATAGCAAAATGATAATAGCAATGGTGGAATTAAGATTAAACATCATTCTGTTTCTTAAAATTTTGCAACATGGTTATATTTGAGATTTAACAGTGTATAAATAGAGAAAATACATGAAACTGATAGAAAACTAAGATATAAGTTAGCATAGTTTTCTCAAATGTCCTAAGTATGCTCCAGGTACATGATATGCTTATTAACTACATGGCTAATATGTATTTGGTGTTTATTATGCCCTTTATACACAGTATCTTATTCAATCCTAACATCATGTCTATGAGAGAAATATCACAATTATTATCTTTATTTTAAGGTCAGATAGCTCAGTGTGGGCCCTTGGCTCCAAGATGCCCATTATCATGTGCACTCATGCCATTTCTCATGGAGAGATGGCATCAAGTCCTTCTCCTTTGCTCTGCGTTGCGGCTGGCCCTAGTGACTTGCCTGACCAACAGACTACAGCACCAGTGAGGTTTTGGGGCTGCGTAGACATCTGAAACTCTCACACTGGAAGGACTGCCCTAAGAACAATTGCTCTAGGACATGTCAGAAGCCATATCAAGTGTCTGGCTACCTTCACTTCACCGTGCTCAGAGACCCTGAGCCACCTGGAGAATCATAAAAGCAGTGAGTGAGAACAAAATCTGCTTCTGTCGAAAGAAACACACCAAGAAGCAGCGCCAGATGGCAACTGAGGCAACCATCTTGGAAGTGGATCCTCCAGCATCAGCTGCTTCTGGGATCTATCTGGCAATATATACTTAAAACTGCAATGCAAATGAGCTAGGAAATTACCAGAGTTTACATGGCTCTAAAGGGATGAGTTGGAATTTGGACCCAGGTCCAAAGATTCTCTGAACTGGTACGTTAGAGCAGCAGTCTCCAACCTTTTTGGCACCAGGGACTGGTCTCATGGAAGATAGTTTTTCCACGGATAGTGGGTGGGATGGTTTCAGGATGAAACTGTTTCACTTCAGATCATCAGGCATTAGTTAAGTTCTCATAAGAGCACACAACCCAGGTCCCTCACCTGATCAGTTCACAATAGGGTTCCTCACCTATGAGAATCTAAATCAGCACACAGGAGGCAGAGCTCAGGCACTGTCGCTCTCTCGGCCCACCGCTCACCTCCTGCTGTGCCTCTAGTTCCTAAGAGGCCACAGACCCCTATCGGTCCTCTGCCCAGGGGTTGGGGACCCCTGTGCTAAAGAGTCTCTTTGCCAATGTTAGCTATTTATTATTAAATTAGCATCATCATCTTCTCTTAAAATTCTCAAGCCACAATTCTGTGGAACACATACTTGAGTCTATAAGTAAAAGCAGTTGTCACCACCCGGCAGAGGTATGGCCCAGGACTGCCTTGCCTGGAATTGATGACGCAGGTGGAGAGGGAGAGACCAGCTTGGAAGAAGGCAGGAGGAGGCAGGTGGGATAAGAAAGCCAGAGATTAGATGTGGGGGAGTTGAGCAGCGAGTGTAATATCCCCTCCAAAAAGAATTAATTCAAAAGATCAGTCCCTGTAAATGGGTCCATATCCCATATTTCATTATGATATCCTGTTAATGTCATACGAAAATACACGGCGGGTGGGTAGAAGGAAATTAAGAACCTTGCAATCAATGGTGTGAGAGACCAAATCTGCATCTTCTACGTTAGAAGTCAATAGATAACATCTAAAATAGGAATAACAAGAAATAGCAGACAAGCATGATGTAAGTGCAATAGTTGGAGATAAACATAATATTGAGTGCATTATTTGGACACTTAGAAGCAAGGGGAATTTAGAGTAGCCACCTCTATACAGTAGGAGTTAGAGGACTGGGGGCACTGACAAGGGACATAAGTATAGTAGCACTGTGAAACCTTTTGAACTATTATGCTACTATGTTAAAAATATTAATTGTACAAAAGATAAATATCCAAAATGTACAAGAACAAATAAATGCTTTTATATAGTCTAGATTTTTCATTAACTTCACGCCTTCAAAAATAATTATATAAATGAAATGGGGAAACAAAATCATTATTTCTATTAAATTAATAAAAACATGGCTAATATTAAAAATATATATCGGTAAACCTATGAGATAAGAGTTATACCTTTCAGCATCCAATCTATCAATACATAAAATAGGCCTTTAAATTCTTTTTTCCTCTATTGCTAGAATTTTATCTGGGGAAAAAAAAAGTTCCCAACTAAATATCTCAACTGGAAACAGAAGTAACTCATAAAAGTCTGTTCAGAACAGTTCTATTCATAATAGCAAACATAATTAAAAACAGCTCCAGCACCAAGCAATAAGATTGCATTTAAAACACATCAATATACATCAATAAATTTGATAATGCAGTTTGTTAAATGACAGTAGACTATAATTTATATAGCAGACTATAATTTATATAGTAGACTCAGCCACTATGTGAAGGATGTGTACAAAACTATATCTATAAATATAATTAAGCCTATATCTGTATGTCTGTATGTTTATTTTACATTGGCAAAAATGATAGATACATTTTATAAATGTGGAAGGTATATTTGGGGTAATCTGACTTAAGATAGGTTAGGTGGCATTTCTTAAGTTTACTTTAGGAGGCTTTGGAGGACATTTTAATTACATTTTTCTTTCATATCAGAAAAGACTGACATTTGAAAGACTCCAATGAGGTGAAAATGTTATACATCTTCGGATTCTGCTGTAATTTTGTAGATAAAGAACCCTCCAAATGTTCATTATATTTTCAGTGTCGAATCTTACTGTTTCTTCTACTTGGACTACAATTAAAAAATTAAACTACCTTTGTCATCCTAAGATGAAAAATTCTTGCCAAACTGGCCAAGCTTGAGAAAATCTCTCTGGAGTTAGGCACTGCTTCTTTCAGCGGAGACCAAGTCTCTGTCTCCTGTTCTGCAGAGATCCAGTTCAGGGACCCTCTGGGGTCTAAAAATCATGGAAATCAACAACATCGACCACCCAAGGAGGGTGGGAAAGCTCAGGCTATGGGAAATTCCACCTCTCCTTCCAGGTTAGGATAAGCGATGGAAAACAAAAGCACTTTATTCTACCCTGGTGAATCCTCAACAGGAGAAAAAGAAAAAAGGATACTAGCCATATATATATATTATATATACAAATATATATTATAAATATATATTTACTAATTTATTTTTGCCATCCAAGGAAAAAAAGTAGAAAAGCAGAACAACTTATTTTTTAAATTATATTGAGATGTACTTAAGCAGACGGGCTGAAGGTGTACCTTCATCTTCCTCCTGTCACCTCAAGCCCTTAAAATTAAGCAAAAGTACATATTTGCCAGCAGATAAGATGCATCCTCTATTCCCACCATCCCCCTCCACCGCCCTCACCAAACAATCTTCAAGCTACCCTACACCCAGTTCACCTGTGTTAAAGCGGGAAGGCAAAGCACAAAAAGAAGACCTGTCCAGGTAAAAGGCAGGAGGTGGGCTGGCCTGCCGTTTGCCAAGTTAAAAAAGACAATAGTGACGATGCTGCCCTCTAGTGGTACATAAATAAAACAAATCACACAAACAACTTACATGGGTAAGAATACTGACTTCACAAAACTAACAAGCCCTGGACAACCCAGCCAAGAATGCCAGTTTTTAATTATTTCCTTGACATTTTAGATAGAAACCTCATTATCACAAAACATGGACATAGAATACATTTTTTTATTCCATTTGTTCACGGGAGAACAGGGCTATAAAGTGTTAGCTGGGAGAGAGCAATGACTCTATTTCTAATGCAGAAAAATGCCAATGATGAAAAGGATCTTCTTGATCCCAGGACTCAGGCAGTTTTGGGGGCTTTGGCAATGGTAATTTTTGAGAATGAAAAACAAAAACATATGATTCATATTTATATAATTGTTAATAAATAATCTTGATAGTCACTGGAATATCCATTGCTACTCTAGTAGGCAAATAGGCTAAAATCCACCATGACCTAAGTAAAGTCCTCCTAATTTCAGGTTTAGCAGATGGCAGTGGGGTGGGGAGAGCAGCCTGCCTCTGCTCCATGGCCCTGCACTCTAAAGTGAAGTCTGCCAGTCAGCATGCCCCACCCACTCACAGAGTACACAGTGGCTCTGCCAGACAGGCTGAGGCTGGATAGGCAAGCAGAACCTCACAACTGCAGAGTAAGTCACACAAGCCACCTAATACACCACATCTTTTGTGATTATGATCAGATACCAAATGTTACCAGATATTTAGAGAAAAATAGCACAAGACAGAAGCCTTCAAAATAAAACAGAAAATCTCAGATGAAGAAGATAATTCAGGGGATGGAAAAAATTGACAACAAAAAGCTCTAACAAAAATCTCCAAAGATATTTAGAAGATATCTCATCCACAAAATAAAAATACACACCACAGGAACGAAGCAATCAGAGCATGGAAGTAAGTTCAGAAGAATAAAAAGTATGGCCAAAATAGTTAATTGTACATGGACTGAACTATAAAATGAACACAAATGATTATTTTGGATGAATGAGATGAAAACAAAATGATTATTTGGAATTTGAATCTGGTGAAATATTTTAAAATGTACAATAACAAGAAAAAAATGGATTTAAATAAAAGAACAAGTTAAAAGGCACAAAAGAGCAGTATAATACTACTAAAATCCAATCGAAATAAGTTCTTGGAGAGATTAAAAAATATAAAATAAAGTTATTGGAAAAGATAATAGGTAGATAAATGGATAGATGGAAGAAGGAAGGGAGAAAGGAAAGAAGAAAGCGTAAAAATGTAATTATCAACATATAATTCTCAATCTGGGAAAACTCCCCTTAAAAAATGGGAAATAAATTATTTTTAGATAGACAAAAATGAGAGTTTTTCACTAACAGATCTATGCTGTAAGAAATAGTAAAGAGTGTCTTTCAGGCTGAAATAAAAAGACACTAAGGAGAAACTCAAATTTATTTGATAAAGTAAAAACAATTACAAAAGGTAACTATATAGGTAAATATAAAAGACAATACAAATATATTTTTGTTTGTACCTATTTTCTTCTCCTAAATTATTTAAAAGACGACTTCAAAAAGAAATAATTATAAATCTATGTTAATGGGCATATAATATATAAAGATGTGATATGTGACAGTAACAGCATAAACAAAGGAAGGGAAACTATACAGGAGCAAAGTCTGTATACTATTGAAAGGAAGTTGGTATTAATTTGAACTAAATTGTTGTAAATGAAGATATTAATTGTAATTCCCAGGGAAACCACAAAGAAAATAACTCAAAAATGTACAGTAAAAGAAAGAACAAGGGAATTAAAATGGTACACATGAAAAATAACAAAAATGAAAACAGTAATCCAAAAACAGAACAAGGTAGACATAAGATATACAGAAAACACATTGCGAATAACAGATACAAATTCTATCTTATTGTTAATTACATTAAGAGTAAATGGGTTAATCTTCCCAGTTAAAAGGCAGAGATTGACAGGATGGATTCAACATCAAAACATGATTCATCTAAATGCTGTGTAAAGAAAAGCACTTTCGATGCAAAGATAGAAATAGTTGGGAAGGCAAAGGAAAGGAAATGTTATACCATGAAAATGGTAACCAAAAAGAAACAAAGAGATCTGGAGTGACTATATTAATACCAAACAAAAAGACTTTAAGGCAAACATTGTTATTACAGACAGCTAAGGACATTTTGTAATAACATCAATTCATCAAAAAGATAACACAATTATAAACATATAAGCACCTAAGAGCGAGTCCCAAACTATATAAAGCAAAAACTGATGCTATTGAAGTGAGCTATAGACAATTCAACAATAATAATTGGAGACATTGATAACCTGCTTTCAATAATAGATAAAACAACTAGACACAATATCAGCAAGAAAATGGAAGAGTAGGACAACATTAAGGCAAAGTAAGAAAAAAAGAAACAAACAAAAGGCTAGACCTAACAGGTATATTTAGAACTTAAAACCAAGAATAGCAGAATGCACATTCTTCTCAAATGTACATGAACAGCCTCTAGGATAGATCAAATGTTGGGCCATAAAACAAGTCTCAATAAGCTTAAAGTAATTAAAAGAAAAGAAAGTATTTATTTGACCTCAATGGAATGAAACTAGAAATCAGTAAAATAAGAAAATGTGGGGAAATCACAAAGATGTGGAGATTAAACAATACTGCTATATAAGTAATGGATTAAAGAAAAAAATCACAAAGGAAATCAGAAAATACTTTGAGATGAATTAAAACAAAAGCACAACATATCAAAACTTAGATGCAAAAAAACTAATGCTCAGAGGAAAATTCATAGAATTTTATTTATGCCTCCATGAAAAAGAATACCTCAAATCAATAACCTAATTTTCTGCCTTAAGAAACTAGAAAAAAGAAAAAACATAAAGAGAAAGAAATAATAAGGATTACAGTGGAAGTAAACAAAATGGAGAATGTAAAACAATAGAGAAAATCAAAAGTTGGTTCTTTGAAAAAACTGACCAAGTTGACAAACTGTTAGCTACATATTAATCAGAAAGAAAAGAGAACACTCAAATTTAGTAAATCAGAAATGAAAGATGAGATTTTACTATTGACCTTAAAGAAAAAATGAAAAACATTATAAGGGAGTAGTAAAAACAACTGTAATGGTAATGAATGAGATAACCTAAGTGAAGTAGATAAATTCTAGAAAGACATAACCTTCCAAAACTAAGTCAAGAAGAAACAGAACATGTGAATAGACCTACAACAAGTAGAGATTAAATTAATAATAAACTTTCCCAAAGAAAAGTCCAGGACTAGATGGCTTTCCTGGTGTATTCCAACAAATATTTAATGAAGAATTAACAAATCATTTACAAGCTTTCTGAAAAACAATCAAATAAGAAGCACTTCTCAATTCATTCAATAAAGGCCCTTACTATCCAGATAATAAAACCAAAGACAACTATAGGGGAAAAAAAAAAAAAAAAAAAAAGCTATAGGCAAAATTAAGAACAATTGTACCTCAGAGGTCACCATCACAAAAGTTGAAAAGAAAACCCACATATTGGAAGAATATATCTGCAAATCAAATAATCTGATCAAAGTCTAGCATGTAGAATATATACATAACTTTTACAACTTAGCAATAAAAAGACAAATAATATAACTAATTTAAATATGGGCCAAAGTTTTGAATAAACATTTTTTCAAAGCAGATATTTAAATGACCAGAAAGTACATAAAAAATCTTAACATGATTAGTCATTAAGTAAATGCAATCAGAAGCACAATAACATACCCCGTCACACCTATTAGGATAGGGTGGCTACTATAAAAATAAACAAAAATATCTTCCTATCTTAAAAAAATATTGTTTATAGAAAGTATTGTTGTGTAGAAATGGGTACTCACAAGGATTAGTCTAAGCACAAATCAATACAATAAATATTTTAGGGCACAATTTGGCAGTATCTTTCAAAATATGCTGATTTCAATGAAGGAATTCCATTTCTAAGTATCTGTCCTAGAAAAAAACTGTGCACATGTACACAAAGTAAAATGTAGAGGGAAGCTCACTGTAGCTATGCTTATTATAGCAAAATGCTGGAACTCACCCAAATGTCCATTTGCAGACAGATGGTTAGATAAATCAGTCTACAATGATTCTAGTACGTAGCCCCACGCCCCCTTTCCTGGATATCAAAAAAGCAAGGTAATTTTAGGGAAGAAACTAATTTTCAAAACAATACTCATAGTATGATACCATTAACAGAAAGCAAAATAAAACAAACCACCTTCTATATACCCAAGTGTTAATTCTGGCTACGTCTGAGGAGGCTAGGTTAGGAAGGGGTAAAGTAACTTCCATTTTTGAATTTACGTATCATGTTATTGCTTAAATTTTTATAAGAAGAAGAATTATATGTTGTATGTAAAATGTTAATTTTAAAAGCATACCTATTTTTATACAAGACTGTTAAATCTAACTTTAAATCTCAATTTTAATTCATAATAACATAACAGAATAAACATTCTTACCTTCCAAGTTTTCTATTTTTTCAATGTTGTTTAAAGCCAAATTCAAATATTCAAGTTTCTTGAGTTTGCTAACATTTTCTGAAATATAAGATAATGTAATTACAAGATAATCTTCAAAATAAAGACACTTGTATGTAATCTATTGTTAAAATAATAAAGAAAATCTAAAGAATATTATGGTTACCAAAACCATGTTGCTTTTTCAAATCTATACCTGTACATCAGACATGGTGGCTGTCTAAGGAGGACCTATTTCTCCCTCCATCCTTCCTAATGAAACCCTAGAGACATTGCTCATGTCTCTACCTAGCCCTAACTCTAGGGGGGGTAGGTTTAACCAAACTGGGCCAGTGCATGACAATCCAATCTCTCTGGCTAGTGATGGCTCAGGAAGGTAGGTTTAAGCCAAACAGCCCATGGCAGTCTCTTGGCAACTGTGTAGTACAGGAGAGGACATGCAAACCAAGTGCTCCTACCCAGATAAAAGGGAAGGATCTATATTCCATGCTTGGGGGGTTCTTACCTCTTTTTCCTGTGGGATATTAATAAGGAATTACTATCTCTATTGATTCTTATACTCAATCATAAGGGAAACAACAGCAGGACAAATCTGGATAGCTGGTAGAGCAGAGAGAAGGAATCAGCCAACCCTGATTGATTCTGGAGTCTGTCCTACCTCTAGACTTAGAGACGGGTATGATAATTGATTTCCTTACTGTTCTACCACATTCAGTTGGGTTTCTTTGACTTGAAGCCACAATCGACCTGATACAGGATTATCTTATTTAATAAATATGAAAGCCCATACAGGCAAAACCACAAGCACAAACAAGTCACAGAATTGCTGCAGAATGGGGCCTTTGAAAAATAGTGAATAATATCAAACATTGCTGAGTGCTTATTCTATATCACACAATGTTCTAAGCATTTTGCATATATTATCTTATTTAATCCTCATAATAACCCTATGAGGTCAAAATGATCGTCTCCTTTTTACAAATCAGAACGCCAAGGTACAGAAAATTAATTTACTTGTCCAAGGTTAAGTGGTAGAGCCAGGAAATTGCACTCCAGAACCTGGAACTAAATCATTATAGTACACCTTAAAAGGACAGTTCTTTCTAAGATGAGAGGAATGTAGAAAACTCTGCTAAGGACTGTGCACTAGGGGCAGCCTCACTCAATTAGTGCCTCCTCTGCCCATTTCTCAGGGATATGATGAAGCTGAAAAACATGGTGATTTATAATCATCACCCTTATCACCACTAAAAGTTAATCAAAAATTTACAAAACATCATATATTTGTTTCCATAGTCGTGAACAGTTCACATCTCTGAGTTTCAATTTATGCATTATTTAAAAGGAGAATTTTGGGGGGAAAAATTACAGAAGTTTGTCTCAGAATTTAAATTATTATAAGTAATCCTAATGTTCTCAAAGGATCTCTAGAAACATCTGAGCATTCAATTGTCAACAGATTTGGAGGTTTCTGTGTGCCAAGAACTATGAGAGTCTAGTCTATATCCTGAACAAAAATACTTTATTATTATTAAAATGGCCAGCCCACAATAAAATACGTGTTCGAAATAGGACTTCCCTTTGTTATATGCATCACCCTCTAAATGCTAAAGGAGTCATATGATAGAAAAGTAAGGCTTGCTCAGGGAGGGTTTCCTAAATTAACTCCTCAAAAACAACAGAGCCCAACTTGGAAAGAGGGAAGGGGGTGAAGCTCTCAGTAAGACAAAATAGAAGAGCCTCTTGTGTAGTGGAAAGGGAGTCTGAGTTCTAGCAAAACCATTCTACAAACAGTTCTCATCAACTAAGCAGACCCACGAACTTGGAGTAGACCCTCTCCCTTCTCAGGTTTACGAAGCTCTGTGGCTCTCAACTTGGCCTAGGCATGCAGCCCATTGTGAAGCTGTTGAAAGGGTTGGTTCCAGGAGCCCACAGGTTCTGATTCATTAGGTCTGGGGCAGGGCACTGGACAAGACCCCACCTGGCCCCTGGGTTCCCTCTTGGGTCACCTCTAAGCAGCGCCTTCCTCAGCAGACCACCTATGTCTTCCCATGGGCAACAGAGCTTTAAGAAAGGCAACTGCTTCGCAAATTTCCACCCCAATAGCACAAGAGCAAGTCTGAATCCTAGAGGAGTAGTTTTACTTGCTAAATAAGTGCCTAAATGCCTATGGGTGGAGCAGCACTGAAAAATTCCATTATTGGGATTTAAAAGGGTGTTTAATTTAAGAATACTTTGGAAGCAAAAATTTAAGCTTTCTGACAGCTCTGAAAAGGACTGAAATACCATGCTCCTAATTAGTAATTGTGATGGACCCAGCTGTGAAGATTAAAATTTTGGGAACTCTTTTAGATCTGTACAATTAGAACCGTTCTTTCATGCCCCCATGCATAAAAGCTGGTGGTTTTCTGTAACAGCCTTTTTAATTGAACAATGTGCCAGAGTTTCTAATTTCTGGTCAAGTTAAAGATGCCAAAAATAATTAACTGAAAAAATACAGAGAATTTTAGTAAATCTTCAAAAAATGATGCAAAGCTAGGCTTTCTGCAAGCCTGAAGCCAATTTTCAATTATCTACGAAACTACACGCAACCACATCACCAGCATTTCTCAACCTCAGCAATACTAACATTTTGGGTTGGATCATTCTTTCTTGGGGGCGGGGGTGGCATCTTGTGCACTGCAGGACTGTTTGCAGTATTCCTGGCCTCTACACCCTAGATGCCAATAGCATCCCCTCCCCATCCTCCCATACACATGCAACAACCAAAAATATCTCCAGACATTGCCAAATGCCCCCTGATGTGAACCCCAGCACATTACCATGGGAAGTAAAATAAGCTGACCTCTGAGTTCTCGTGCCAGGGCACAGAGGGGTTGGCACTTTCTCTGCCTCATCGATCCTGACTCCATCTTTTTTCCTCCAACTCCATTGGCTCCTCCCTTCTGCTCCTCCCTTCAACTGGCTAGCCTGGGGCACACTGGGGTAAATGATCAAATTGATAATAGTAGCAGCACAGCAGCTATCCTCTACTGAATACTAATGATTTAGCAAGTACCAAGCATATCATTTCATGTAATCTGTATGCCAATTTAGACATCGGCATTATTAGCCATTTTACAGACGGCAAACTAAGACTTGGGCAAAGTAACTGACTTGTGAAATTTCACACTGCAAATAGGTAGGTGGCAGAGGCAGCGTTCTGACACAGGTCCACCTGACGCCAGAGCCTGTGCTTTCTCTTTCTGGGTGCTGGGGATTCTCCTTCAGTTTCCATGTGGCAGGACCTCCATTAGAGCAACTGCACAGGCCTCCCTTCCCTCTGCCCTTTAATTCACCATTCTGTGGGAGAAGTCGGGTGTGGTGGGGGAAGGAAGACCAACGTATCTGATAGGTTCATCAGGAGAAGAAACTCAGCACACCCAGTCCCACCCTCTTTCCTGATTTCTGGAATCTTCCTGCCAGCAGAGAGCACATGATCTCAACCTACCTCCTGACATAAAGCAAAGACCCACCTGGGTAGGAGAAACTTGTGGTTGTCCAATTCTGCATGTAACTGGGCGGGTGGGTATTCCAAGGGCAATATTAGCAAGCCAACTTGGCTGCAAGTCTAAGTCGCTTTTTTTAATCAGTTTAATGCTGATGTTTTTATCTTCATTGACCTGATTCCTGCATTTACCTCTAATTTTCATTCCAAATTGGAACCCCCTCAATACCCAACACAGAGCACAATGCCTTGCACATATACGGTCACAATAAATATACAATAAATCTGCAGTAACCTGACAAGGACTCCCTCAATTTTTGTATAAATTAGTTTTGCAGTGTGATGTAAAACCATGACAAATACCTCCTCCCTTTCAAACTTAAAAAATATCAGGTTTGATGTGTTCTCTGTCTTTTTAGATGATCAGGTCAAGTAATGTGTTCCTCATCTTTATCTGCTCTCCCAGCTCCTTGCTGGAAATTGTTTTCACTACACACAGAAATGTTCAGGGAATGCCCCCATACAACTACTGAAAGATGGCTGTGTCTGTTTTCTCATGCAATTCTTTTCCAATGATTGTCTTCTTCTAAAAATAACACTACACTTTCCAAAGTTCTCTCATTCACAATGTTAAAGAAACCATGAGAGCTAAGCACTGAAACTTACCAATTTTCCCAATAAGATTATTTTGAAGATAGAGAATTTTTAAATCCCGGCACCATTTATCAATGTGTTCTAGTCTTTCTATTTCTTGCTGATGCAAGGAGAGTTCCTCCAGGGAAAAAATGACACAGTCATTGTGTTCAGCATTCCGTCTAATAAGATCTTCTGTGACTGGAAGAAAATATGTTACATATTACACTTATGTCCCCATTGTTCAATATAAGATTATTGTGCTATGAATACAGTTGGGCTTTTTTTTTTTTTCAGTTAAATGTCAATTCTCCAGGCCCAAGCAATTTTCAAAGTGAAAGAGAAAATGCTACCTTCTCCTTGAGTTTTTGTGATGCCATGATGTGAGTCAGAGGGAAGACGAAGACATGATGATATCACATTTGTCTTTGAACATGTAGAGTCTACATATGTTTTGCTGTATGGATGAAGATGGAGTTGAGAATTAACGGCTATAAGAATGTTGATATGGAATCTTACAGTGGTACCATGTCAAAATGGATGAGATCCACTAACTAATCTGAGACACAGCAACTTGCTACTGCGAGGCACAGTGGGGCTGGCAGAGAGCAGAAATAAGAAAGCATCTTCCACCATTCAAAGAAGAAGGGTCCTGGGTCATTCATTTAACCAATATTTATTAATTTAACTATGCTTAAAACAAAGAAAATGAACACCTTAGATCTTGTACTGCAGTCTTACCAAGCGGCCACCACTTGTTTTGCTTCCTAGGAGAATGTTTTTTAAAGCTGTTCACAGGAGAAGGCATAAAGGGAGCTGCCATCCCTCTGACAAGAGTGATGTGTAACACTGGGCTTGCCTGCCACAGAAGGTCACCTATGTCCAGGTGCAAGAGACTGGACATAGTGCTGTCTATGGTCCACAGTCGGGGCCAACCACAAGACCATGAATCATCTTCATAGAGATGTACTGAAACCAAAGAGCTAATGACCAGGAGGAACCACGCATTTCCCATTGCCACTAAAAATGTTATTTGTTGAACTCTCATATCTTAAATAGGATGTGGAAATATTGTCTGTCTACACCAGGAGATAATAATTGTCACTTACAAGGTGCCAGGTACTATTCTAAATGCTTTGCATCTATTAATGTATGACTATCTGGAGTTATTATTTCCAACTGCCAGATGAGGAAGTCAAGCACAGAGAGTTTAAATAGCTTACCTGGGTCTTGGTGATAAGTGCTAGGGCTAGGTTTTAAATTCACAGTGCAGTGCCAGACCATTGCTCTTAACCACTATGCTCCCCTGCCACAAGCATGAGCAAATAACAGCCTCTTGAGATTCCAGGTTTCCTGAAGGTACAGACTCCTCTAGCTGAGACAGAGTTCTTTACTGCAACTTCTGCTACCACACCTCTATGTCACATCCTTAAAAGTGGAGTTTGCCTTTTTACTAAATGTAAAAACATGTACGAATTTGATCCTTCATATGCAGTTAGCTAAACTCTCTGCTACTTCCAATGGGAGGAGATACAAGTGCTTGCAATGACAGTTCTTTAGAAGAAGGACCAGAGTAATATAGAGGTTGAAAGATTAAAATACTATACATGGGGAAAGTCCTTGCTACTCTAAGCTTTGGCTCAACTAACAGGCAGAGATTGTCACAAACCAGATCCTGGTGAGGGACAGACCAAAGCACCCAGGAAGGAGGGTAACAGGACACCATCACCAGCCTGACTCACTGGAACCCCTGCTGCCAGCCCCATTCAGCTGCCCCTGGAATTCCACTGCTGGTTTTAGGGAGCTCTATTCAAGGAAAAAAGAAAAACCAAACCTGTAAGAGAAGAGCATTAAAACTACTCTCCATCCTCCTTATCAAAGTTGGTTCTAACAGTTTAAATCAACTGATAATGAATAAATGGGTAAAGCCAGAGGATAGAGCAATGCTCCTATGTAAAGCAAAATGTATGATCTGTATCTATAATTTATCTATCAGAATTCCCTTAGCAGGGATGCAACGTGTGTCAAAAGGTTTAGGTGGCACAACCCTTGTTATCTGCACATTTAATAAAATGTGGAAATTATTCACCACTAGTAATAACACCCTCAATGACTAATGGTGTATCTATAACTTAAACTATACAAATCCATAGCAAGGGGGTGGATTGTTGGAGGCCTTGCTACTATTAGAACTGGAGTCCTTGGGGCCAGGAGGACATGCCCATCAAGGGCCCATGTCTTCCTGTCTAGACCATGGCCCATGGTGGGAACAATGGAATTCTCTGTCCAAGGGGCTCCAAGTCCTACTCCGAACCCTGCAATGGCAGCTTCTTCAGGTTCATTCTTGAAGACAGATCATGTCATCAGGTACAAAAGCCAGTGCCTAGGGGTGTCCAAGGATCAGCTGTTTGTCAGGGATGTGGACAGCACGGATACGTAGGCTGGAGGGTCCATGCTCATATATGGGCATGAGGGGCCAGGATAGAGCCACAGATGGGAAGAAAAGGGAAGACGGAGCCAGAGGACAAGCTTTCCCCAAGCCACCATGCTCTGTCACAGAACTCCAGTATATGAAATGCAGCTTTCCGGGTTGTTGTGAAAGTATACTTGTCAAGGGAGGAAGACGTATTTGATTTAGCAGTTTGATTTATAACTTGATACATGGGCCTTAACTTAAACTACTTAAACTCTTGCCCCAGATTCTGGTTGAAGGCTTAGTTTTGTATCCATATTGAAGATGTAACTTAACTTGAACTCCAAAGGAGCTGTCATCTATGCTTAAAGTCAAATGTGTTCAGGGGACTTCTGAGAGCATGTTAGCATCACCTGGTCTCTGGCCTTACATTGCCATGTGGGACTTTCTAATCCTCAAGGCTGCTCAAGGCATCACAGGCACCTCCAGTCTACCTTCTGAGAAGCTTTTCCAAACTGTCCACTCTTAAAGATTTACAGGGTTGACCAAGTTTCTACTGGTACAAAATATCCTTGTAGTATTCTTTTGCTACACCTCTGAACATTTAAGAAATGCTTTTTTTTTCCTTTGAGAAAGGGTATCACTCTGTCACCCAGGCTGGAGTGCAGTGGCATCATTACGGTTCACTGCAGCCCAGGCTCCAGGGATCCTCCCACCTCAGCCTCCTGAGTAGCTGGAACTATAGGCATGTGTCACCACACCCAGGTAATTTTCGCTTTTTTTTTTTTTTTTTTTTTGGTAAAGATAGGGTTTCACCATGCTGTACAGGTTGGTCTCAGACTCCTGGACTCAAGCGATCCACCCACCTTGGCTTCCCCAAGTACTGGGATTACAGGTGTACGCCAGTGTGACCAGCCAAGAAACTATCTTCATCGTGCTGTTATTTGTGTAAAATTTATCACTTCATGCAATTGTCAAATCTTCTTTTTCAAAGGCACACAGATATTAAGAAAGAATTATGTTGATTCATACCTTCTAACCATGAGAATTAAGATGAGAAAAATCCCTATTAGTTTAAAGAGGCGGAGTTCAGGGAACTTCCCTTAGCATGGGCAACTAATCTATACACACACACACACACACACACACACACGAAGGAAAGAAGGGACAGAACAGAGAAAGTTGCCTGGACAGCAATGATTACATACAATTAGGATACATTAAAAGAAAATGGAGAATTGCAGAGGAGGATAAAACTGTAAAGATCTGGAATTTCCCAGCAGACCTTTTCTAAACTCTTCGGTAACTTTCAAACTGCTATGTGGCTTACCGTCTAAAGCACTCAGGAAATTGTTGTTACACAATGCTGCTTCACCTGTAATGGCAAACATCAGAACAAAAACCAGAGTCCCCAAGAAGAAATGTGTAAAGATGTCTATATGGTCCATGGAGATTATAGTGTTTCCATGCATTTGAACAGGAAAGCAGTTTTGGTTTTATATCTGATTTAGAGCAAACATTCGTTAAGTTCAAGGAGCATTATTTGCCCTTAGATATTTCTACTCCAAATAATATAGCCCTGCACTGATGTGAGATCATTCTAGAGATTTAAAAATGCTTTGGGAGGACACACAAGTGGCCAAAAAACATTAAAAAAAAAAATTCCACATCACTAGTCATCAGAGAAATGCAAATTAAAACTACAATGTGATACTATTTCCCACCAGCCAGAATGGCTATTATTATAAAAGTCATAAAATAATAGATGTTGGCAAGGATGCAGAGAAAAGGGAACACTTATACACTGTTGATGGGAATGTAAATTAGTTCAACCACTATGGAAAACAGAATAGAGATTTCTCAAAGAATTAAAAATAGAATGAACATTCAACCCAGCAATCTCACTACTGGGTATTTTCCCAAATGAAAATAAACCACTCAATCAATCAAAAAGATGTCTATATTCCTGTGCTATTGCAGCACTATTCATAATATCAAAGTCACGTGTTCAACCCAAGTTACCATCAACAGCAGACTGGATAGAGAAAATCTGGCATATGTACACCATGGAATACTATGCAGCCATAAAAAGAATAAAATCATGTCCTTTGCATCAATATTGGATGTAGCTGGAGGCCATTATCTTAAGTGAATTCATGCACAAACAGAAAATCAAATACTGTATGTTTTCACTTATAAGCTGGAGCTAAATAGTGGGTACACAAGGACATAAAATGAAAACTATAGACACTGGGGACTCCAAAATGGTAGAGGGAGGAGAGGCAAAGTTTGAAAAACAACCTACTGGGTACTGTGTTCACTATTTGGATGAGGGGTTTACTTGAAGATCAGACCCCAGCATCATCCAGTATACCCATGTAAGAAATCTGCACATGTACCCTCTGAATATAAAATTAAAAAGAAAAATAATATATAGTTTCAAATAGCTAGAAGGAAGATACTGAATGTTTCCAACACAAAGAAATGATAAATGTTTTAGATAATGGATATGATAATTACCCTGGTCTCATTACTCTACAGTGTATATATTGAAACATCACCATGTATGCCAGAAATATGTACAATTATGTGACAAGTAAAAACAAAATTATAAATAAAAAAAAAAGATACAAACTCTGCCCTTAAGGAGTTTTCAGTCCAGAATTAATGAGAGGCAGTGACTACAGTGAGTGATGAATGATGAGCTTGAGAGAAGAGCTGGATACCATGAAACATGTAGGAGAAGGACCCAACCCAGGTGTGGCTTCAGAAGGAGGGGATGTTGATA